CCCACCCACCCCGACCTTACACTCTTTCTTGGTCAACTCCAGGGGTCCATGGGCTCAAGCAGGCAGCAGCTGGCTTCAGCGTGCTCTGAGACTTTTGCTGAGTAGATCCAGGCTCAGTACTGGCACCAAGCCAGAATCTACATTAACCTGGTAAATACCACTTGCCCTACCCTGGTGATTATGAGACCCTACCTCACCCAACTCATGTGAGGCTCTATCAGCAGCTGATCTGTACAGGAGCCAGCGGATGACAGCATGACTCAGAGTGTCTTAGGTTTCTTTGCAGAGGTACCCCAGGCCCAGTACTGGTGGCAGCCATCCTTAGCTCACAGCATGGCTCTACCACATGTGTCCAGGTCTAGCACAGGCAACAACCAACCATGGATCTCTTTGTAGCTCTTACCATGTAGTTCCCAGCCAGTACAGGCAGTGGCGAACCTAGGCCTGCACCGGAGCCCCTCCCAAGAGGCCCCAGAACCAAAAAACCTGGAGGTCGTCTTCAGACCACAGCAGAACAGCACCCAATTTACCCCACAAGTGGCACACTCAAAAGGAGGTCTCAACAAGCACTAGAGCCCACTGGGGCAAATCCTGCTCTTCAGGGTAAGTCCCCCACACAGCAGCCCCTAAGATGTAGATGTGGCCAAACCCCCACAGCTAGTCAGCCTGAGAGTCAGTATCACTCACTGATGTGCAAATAACAATCAAGGCTCAATTATAGCAGGACAGCACACACATCCCCCAAAAGGGACTCTCCTGGAACACCTCGCATTGGTGACCAGAGCGACTGTGCCACTGGGCCCCACAGAAAACCATAGCCAAGACTAGAAGATGTAGCAGGTCTACCTAATACATGGAAATAAACATAGAGAGGCAGCTAAAATGAGGAAACAAAGAAATATGTCCCAAATGAAAGAACAGGAGAAAACTCCAGAAAAAGAACTAAATAAAATGGAGGCAGGAAACCTACCAGATACAGAGTTCAAAACAATGCTTATAAGGATGCTCAAGGAACTTAGGGAAGAATAGATGCACTCAGTGAGAACTTCAACAAAGAGATGGCAAACATTAAAAAGGACATAGAAACCATAAAAAGAACCAGTCAGAAGTGAAAAATACAATAACTAGTATAAAGAATGCACTAGAAGGCATCACTGGTAGACTAGATGAAAGAGAACTTAATCAATGATTTGGAAGACAAGGTTGCAGAAAACACCCAGTTGGAACAGCAAAACGAAAAGAGAATCCAACAAAATGAGAATAGTTTAAGAGATCTCTAGAACAACATGATGTGTAATAACATTCTCATCAGAGGGGTACCAGAAGGAGAAGAGAGATAGCAAGGGATTGAGAACCTATTTGGAGAAATAATGACAGAAAACTTTCCTAACCTAGCAAAGGAAGTAGACATATAAGCCCAGGAGGGGCAGAGAGTCCCAAATAAGATGAACACAAAGTGGCCCCACCAAGACACATCATAGTTAAAATGGAAAAGGTTAAAAACAAAGAGAGAATCCTAAAAGCAGCAAGAGCAAGGCAACAAGTTACTTATAATACAAAGGAGCTCCCAAAAGATTGTCAGGTGATTTCTCTACAGAACCTTTGCAGGCCAGAAGGGAGTGGCACAAAATATTCAAAATGATGAAAAACAAAAGCGAAGACCTACAAGATTACTCTACTCAGCAAGGCTATCATTTAAAGTTGAAGGAGTGATGAAGAGCTTCTCAGACAAGAAAAAGCTAAAAGAGTTCATCACCACCAAGCCAGTATTACAAGGAATGTTAAAGGGACTTCTTTAAGAAGAAGAAGTTGGGGGTAAGGGGAACATAAAGATGAATAATAAAATGGGAATAACTATGTGTCTATCAATAATCACTTTAAGTGTAAATGGATTAAGTGCTCCACTCAAAAGATGTAGGGTAACTGAATGCATAAGAAAACAAGACCCATACAGATGCTGTCTATAAGAGACTTATCTCAGATCAAAAGACACACACAGACTGAAAGTAAAGGAATGGAAGAAGATATTTCATGTGAATAGAAGTGAAAAAAAAAACTGTAGTAGCATACTTATATCAGACAAAATGGACTTTAAAACAAAGACTATATGAGTAACAAGAGACAAAGAGGGAACTTTACATAATGGTAAAGGGATCAATTCAACAAGAGGATATAACTTTTGTAAGCATTTATGAACCCAAAATAGGAGCACCTAAATATATAAAGCAAATATTGAACAACATAAAGGGAGAGATCAACAGTAATATAATCACAGTAGGGGACTTTAGCACCCTATTCACACCAGTGGACAGATCTACCAGACAGAAAATCAACAAGGAAACAGCAGCCTTAAAGGAAAATAAACAAAACAAAACAAACAAGAAAACACTAGACCCGATGGATTTAATTGATATTTTTCAAGCATTTCACCTCAAAGCAGAAGACTATACATTTTTTAAAGTGCACATGAAACATTTTCCAAGATGGACCACATGCTAGGCCACAAAACAAGTCTCGATAAATTTTAAAAGGTTGAAATCATATCAATCGTCTTCTCTGACCACAGTGCTATGAATCCAGAAATCAATTACAAGAAAAAAACTGAAAAACACACAAACACATGGAGGCTGAATAATATGCTACTAAACAATGAATGGGTAAAAAATGAGATCAAGCAAGGAATCAAAAGACACCTTGAGACAAATGAAAATGAAAACACAAAGACCCCAAATCTATGGGACATAGTGAAAGCAGTCCTAAGAGGGAAATTCATAGCAACGCAAGCCTACCTCAAGAAACAAACAAACAAACAAAATCTCAAATAAACAATCTAACCTAACACTTAAAGCAACTAGCACAAGAACAGAAAACAAAGCCCAAAGTGAGTAGAAGGAAGGCAATAATAAAGATTAGAGCAGAAATAAATGAAATAGAAGCTAAAAAAAAATTAAAAAGATGAATAAAACCAACAGCTGGTTCTTTGAAAAGATAAAATTGACAAACCTTTAACCAGACTCATCAAGAAAAAAAGAGATAGGACCCAAATAAATAACATCAGAAATGAAAGAGGAGAAGTGACAATTGACACCACAAAAATAAAAAGGATGACAAGAACATATTACAAATAATTATATGCCAACAAATTGAACAATCTAGAAGAAATGGAAAATTTCCTAGAAACATACACTCTTTCAAGACTGAATCAAGAAGAAACAGAAAATCTGAACTGAGCAATTACTACTAATGAAAACAAATCAGTAATCAAAAAACTCCCAACAAACAAAGGTTTAGACTGGATGGCTTCACAGGTGAATTTTACCAAACATTTAAAGAAGAGTTAACTACTACAAGCCTATAGTAATCAAAACAGCATTCTACTGGCATAAAAACAGACACATTTAAATAATGGAACAGAATAGAGAGCCCAGAAATAGACCCCCGCCTATATGGTCAATTAATCTATTGCAAAAGAAGCAAGAATTGGGCCGGCCGAGTGGCGCGATGGTTAAGAACTCGCTTGGGATGCCAGAGGGCCCCGGTTCAGATCCCACATATGAGGGCCAGTGACACTGCCCTCCACAGCTAAGATGCTGAACAACAGCTCAACCTGGAGCTGGGTTGCCATGAGTCGCCGGCGACGGCATAGGCTGCAGCCCCTGTGGCAGTGGGTTGCCATGGGCTACCGTGTGTAGCCAGCAGCCAGCGTGAGCGGCCAGCAGCCGCAGTGAGCGGCCGTCCAGAAGCCGGCGACTGATCTGCCTCTCCCGGGAAGAGCGCAATGACGGTGCCAACTTGGGCCAGTGAAGCAACATCCTCCACAACTAGATTGAAGAACAAAAATGACAGCAACTTGTCTGTTCCCCTTCCCCCAGTTCCCCAGCACTGTTCCCATCCCCCCAATTCCCCAATAAAAATCTTATAAAAAAAAAAAAGAAGCAAGAATTTACACTGGGGTAAAGACAGTCTCTTCAATAAATGGTGTTGTGAAAACTGGACAGTTACATGCAAAACAAAATGAAACGAGACCTTGTTTTACACCATATACAAGAATAAACTCAAAATGAATTAAATACGTATATGTAAGACCTGAAACCATAAAACTCCTGGAAAAAAAACATAGGCAGTAAACTCTCTGACATTGCTCTTAGTGATATTTCTTTTCTGATACATCTCTGAGGGCAAGGGGAACAAAAGAAAAAATGAACAAATGAGACTACGTCAAACTAAAAATTTTTTGCACAGCAAAGAAACCAGCAACAAAACAAAAACACAGCCTACTGAATGGAAGAAGATATTTACCAACCTGATAAGGGGTTAATATCCAAAATTTATACAAAATTCATACAACTCAACACACACACACACACACACACACACACACACACACACACAAATCTAATTAAAAAATGGGCAGAGAATCTGAAAAGACATTTCTCCAAATAGGACATACAGCTGGCCAATAGACATATAAAAAGATTCTCAACATCACCAGTTATCAGAGAAATGCAAATTAAAACCACCATGAGCTATTACCTCACACCTATCAAGATGGTTATCATCAACAAATCAACAAACAACAAGTGTTGGCGAGGACGCAGAGAAAAGGAAACCTTCGTGCACTGCCGGTGGGATTGCAAATTGGTGCAGTCACTACGGAAAACAGTTTGGAGGTTCCTCAAAAAATTAAAAATACAACTACCTTATGACCCAGCAATTCCACTTCTGGGTGTTTATCTGAAGAAACCCAAAACACTAATTAAAAAAGACATAGCCGTCTATATGTTCATTGCAGTATGATTTACAATAGCCAAGATATGGAAGCAACCCATGTGCTCATCAACGGACAATCAGATAAAGAAGACGCGGTGCATATACGCGCGGTGCATATACACAATGGAATATTTTATGGCCAAGTGGCCATAAAAAAGAATGACATCTTACCATTTGTGACAACATGGATGGACCTAGAGGGTATTATGCTAAGTGAAATAAGTCAGATAGGCTTATATATGGAATCTAAAGAACAAAATAAACAAACAAATGAAACAGAAATAGACTTGTAGATACAGAGAACAAACTGATGGTTGCCAGAGGGGAGGCGAGTTGGGGAACCAGGTGAAAAAAATGAAGGGATTAAGTAATACAAATTGATAGATACAAAATAGTCACTGGGATATAAAATACAGCATTGAGAATATAGTCAATAATTTACAACATCTATATGTAGTGCTAGGTAGGTACTAGACTAATCGGGGGGAATAACTGAATAAATTATATAAATGTCTAACTGCTATTTTGTACACCTAAAACTAATAAAAAATAACACTGAATGTTAGCTGTAACTGAAATTAATAATTTTATAAATAAATAAATAATTTTAAAAATAACTTTGGGTAAAAATTAAATTTAAAAAATGTAAAGGAAGTTAAAAAATAAAAAAAATACACTGGTGTCTAAGAAACTTCCAACCAGCCTGCCTGCCTTCCTTCCTTCCTTCCTTTCTTCCTTCCTTCCTTCCTTCCTTCCTCCTTACCTCCCTCCCTTTCTCCCTTCCTTCCCTCTCTCCTGCACTTGGGGTCAGACCTGCATTGTGGT